GTATTTATACTCTCTTTCAAGAAAACGAGAAGAGTGTCGGGTGCAGACCATGCAGATTCACTTGAAGGCCGTCGTCACTTGTGGTGTGTGGTCTGCACCCGACGCTCTCGTTTTTTGAAAGAGAGGATACATTGGGAAACAATGCAAGATTTTTCCGGGAAGGATTCCTCTGACTCAACTTTCAATGGTGTATTTACCATCGCTTATATACTCGAACCCCGTGTGGAGGTAAGAGCTTCGCCCCCACCCCAGCAATCTCGTGATAGCCTTGGTAACAAAAAATTACACTAAAGACTGCCTCTACTTCCACAAAGAGCAGTCTTTCGAGCTGTGCCATGCAATTGTCTTATAATTAGGATTGAAGAGACGTTTGAATAGGTAATGCGCCTATAGAATGAAATGCGGAACGATTCAAATTTCAGTTATTAATTTTGTTCATTATAGTGCCTGGGTGAGTGGAAAAACCTAGAAACTAATACATTTTATTGGTGGGAGGCGAAAGTGTATAAAGGAAGGAGACCGATTAGGAACTGATGAAGTTTTTGACATTCGGATAAAAGAGACTGAGAAACAAGAGAGAAAAGAGAAGAGTAGCATCCGGAAAGGTCACTAAAATGTGGAATAGGGAGAATCAAAAGTAGAGGGGACCAGTTGATAGTTTCAGGACTGAATGAAGCGGCGCAGCAGTCAGAGGGCTACACATTTCAAATCAGTCACCGGGATCGAATCCCGAACGAATGAATTGTGATTCTAATTAAAGTTCGCTAACTTAGTTGTCTTTTTTTCATTTTAATTCGTTAGTTGGAGGAAAACTATATTCCCAACATATAAGCCCGTTTCTAACGGTTTTTGTCCACTAGACATTTCTTCTTGAATTCTCGGTACAGGCCACAGCAAACAGCTAACCCAGAAAACAATGAGGCTTCATAGTGTGAAAGGGTACGGGGTGAGCCAATTAATTATCCCCCAACAAAGATCACGGAAAGGGGATCGCTATCTTGGATGCAAGAGTTTTGCCTTAGCGGCCACCATTGTAATCAGTCTGAACTTAATACTATTTGCGTAGTATCTTGAATATCAACGCTCAATAATGCCTCTTTATACAATAACTCAGCCTACATAAACTTAGTCAATGGTCTATATCGTACGGCCGGTTATCACACGGGTTTGACATTAGCATAGAATAACTTTTACGCGATCGGTAAGTACAACGATATGCTGCATAACAGTTGAGATATCGGGATCGTCTTCGGACTCAATAATCGTTGCAACACCATTTGCCTATTCATTGTGTGCTTCTTTATACAAAAACTTTACTACAACAATCTTTACCCATTTGCTATTATTTAATAATAAATGGGATTCAAGATAGTTTACATCCTATGCCCATATATTTTGGATTCAAATGTTCTGGCAACCATCCCAATCCTTCTATTATATAAAGCGCTAACTTTGTGTGTCGGTTTGTGTATCTGTATGTGTGTGTGTGTGAGTGTGTATGTATGTGTGTCCGTCCGCAAAATGAAGTGAGTGAGAAGGAAGCTCATGGGATAAACAAACCGCTAACAAATCGGGTAGCTTACAGGATTTGAGATATCAATGTTTTGTAGCAGGATAGTTGTGATAACACTCTTAGGGCTATATAAACACCTGCTTAGCACACTTCCGTTCATTCCACATGGTGCTGCAGTGGCAGCTGGAGGGCAGTGGAGAGAGGAAGGGAGGATGAGGAAGGGAAGCGAAAAATCTACCGTCATATCATGATTGTGTCCCTTCTACTGTATGAAACACCATTGTGTTGCATACGCGTCACTTCCAGGAGGTGTTGGTGTCACAGGAGGAAGGGACCATAGCGGAGGATAGAAAGCTTGCGCATTAAAGGAAGGTCCCGGCGGTTGACGGGACAATTGTTAAAGTGATATAAGTATTAGTATTTGCAACTTGATCATATACCCGTTTTGGAACTGCGGCACACTATCTCACTTTCCATTTGTACACACGCTAGTTTCTATGATGCTCGATGATGGCCCCACTATACAATGACTTGCGGGGCCAGCCGATATGTACAAGTCAGTGTTTTATCCTCCCAGACAAGTCTGGTACCAATTAACCGACCCCGGAGGGATGGAAGGCTTGGTTGGCCCGGGCGACTCACCCAGGATTTGATCCCCGGACCGCTCGCGTGGTAAGCGTGCCACTTGCCACTACACCACTTCCGCCCGTACAAAATTCTTTTACAGAATCACATGTGTTATTAAATATCTATTATTGGACTATGGAACTCCTGGACCGTTTTCCAAGGTTCCTTCCAGCCTTTATGAGACTTCATCACATGGTAAAATCGCGAACTCGAGTATTTCCCATGGTTCAACGGCCTCCACCTTTCCATTATTTTTCCATTTTCGCGCTTCTTCAGAGCTTGGCATCCCATCAGACGAGAAAATTTATTCCGATTTCCGATTTCCGAAACAGTAACGGCACTTTCTGGTTCACTTCCTGTTTTCCGAAAAGTTTGATATTTCTCTCTCTTCTAAGGGGATCTTTAGAAGTAGACAGTCAGATAAGAGAAACTGGGCTTCGGAGAAAATGATCATGCAAGAGGGTACTCGGCCTATGACATCAACTCTTGGGCGGACCATAACTGGTGTGTAAAGCCTCGTGTGCATCCTTGAGCCTTAGCGCCTCTACCTAGCACTTTCCTGCGACGAATTCAGTACATCCTATGCATTTACGGATAACTACTTTTTCCGAGCTAGAGCACCATTTCAGTGACCTGGTCGTGGATAGCGCCTTTAGGGCACATATCGCTGCGGAAAACAGAGTGTAGGTAAAAGTCAACAACGATCCCATCAGTTGTTTTCATCTAAAACGCTGATGCATAACAATTTAGGGTGATCGCAGCAGAGAAAGAAGGTCTATTGATCGCGTTAGGCGATAGTGATAGACGATCTGATAACAAAATAATTCGTTGTTTTGTCTAAACAATATATTGATCTTAATATGGGCAACATTATAATTCCTCATGAGCGTATGCACACATGGGAACACATCTCGTACAAGCCAGCTTATCATTTAGCTAGGTAATTTGGTAGTGATTTGATAATGAGGCGGAAGTGGTGTAGTGGCAAGTGGCACGCTTACCACGCGAGCGGTCCGGGGATCAAATCCTGGGTCGTGAGTCGCCCGGGCCAACCAAGCCTTCCATCCCTCCGGGGTCGGTAGACTTGTCTGGGAGGATAAAACACTGACTTGTACATCGGCTGGCCCCCGCAAGTCATTGTATAGGCCACATCGCATTCAAACGCCACTACGAATGTACAAATGGAAGTAGAATGCGTGCCGCATCCCAAAAAGGGATTGATCAACGGCAAATGCTTTATCCTTTAACTTTTAATGAGAACTCGGCTAGTAAGGTAGGCGCAGAGTTGGACGTCAACTGTTAGTCAGCCAATTTAGCACATTTAGGCCGATGTCAGACTTTGCGAATCGCGCGATTCGCTAGCGTCCGCGGTCGCGTTGCGGTACCAGCCAATTGAGTGATTCACTGGCCGCGACGCGACCGCAGACGCTAGCGAATCGCGCGATTCGCAAAGTCTGACATCGGCCTTAGGAACAGCAAAAGCGCACAGAGGTTTCTCGAGCATCACCTTATTTCGTTCCTGTATTGCGATTCTCGATATTTAAAACTGCCTGAATACGGTATCTTATCCCGAAAACAAAACATTTACTAATACTGCAATTATTGAAGGAGTAACGACGATGCTAGGGAATAAAATGAACAAAAAGATGTCGAATTGTACGAGCGGGCTGCTATCAATGTGTCGAGGCTGGTGTCAGAGTCCGTGATCCGTCGCGCGATTCGTGACGGATCGCGGACTCTAGCACAGATTAGGAGAAAGGCACAGTCCAGGCTCTCTGCGACTACACGTAGAGCGCGAATGCGGAAAGCATCCTACACTCTAGATGCTAGCAGTTGATCCGCTGCTCCCCGTCTTGCGCATTTGTGAGCAAATCCGAGGGCAATGAGCGCGAAAAGTACGACACTGGGAAGAGCTGTTTTGACATAGCGAAATCCAGAATCGAGCGAATCGAAACAAAACGAATTGTTCGATCGATTAATAAATAATGGCGCTCATCCAGTAAGGGGGGGGCATCAAGTGGCTGCCCTCACCCCCACCCCCCTAGACTGCCTACACTCCCCCTGGCGCACAGGTTTCTCGAAGTACGGGACCCCGTGAGCCAGGGGGAGTGAAGCCAGTTCAGGGGGTGGGGGTGAGGGCAGCCATTGACGTTGCATCACAATGCCCCCCCCCCTTACTGGATGAGACCCTAATAAGTTTCCCATTGAGAAAGAAGCTGATCCAATTTGTTTTTGTTGAAAAAAATTGTTGCAAAGTTTCAGAAAGACGCGCGAGACCGTCAAGGTGAAGATTGGGATTTGCGCTAATGTGACGGTCCACATCGAAATCGCCATTAGAACCCGTGAAGTATATTCTGCGTATCGAACCGGCTGCACTTTCAAACTAAACCTATATAAACGGTCAGCGAAAGTTTCTGACTGGCTAAAATAAGGAAGATACTCAGTTTCTCGTTGAAATTAGTATATTGAAAGTCGATAGAATGAGAAACAGAAATAAGAAATAGGCTTAGCGGCTAAGGAGGCCACTTAAAAAAACGTGCAGCTTGCATCGAGCGAGAATTGGCTCGTTGCCAACGGAGCAACCGATGCGCCGTCGCTCGCGGCGATCGCGACTGGTGAGGCGCGCGGCTGCGTCGCAGCTCGTCGGCACGACTTTGATGGGCTGTTGGACGACGACGACGGCTTTCTTCGCCCGTTCGTTCTGCCCCCCCCCCCCCCCCCCCCGCCTCCCCCCCCGCCCACCCGCCCCCCCCACCCCACCGCCACCCTGCTTTGGCAATACCGAATGGAACGAATCGGAGGCATGTGTGGCGAGTTGGTCGCCGACGTCTTCAAGCGTCGAGCAAGTATTTCTGTGGGGAGAAAAGGCCTTAAATTCCTAGGCGTCACTTGGTCCATTGGCGTGTTTATTTTGTTGCTTCATTTCCAATCTTGTCGTGTATCTTTTGACACAGATTCGGTCACAGATTCGATAATAGAACAAGATACGTCTCATTTCCGTACGAAATGTTTCCCTCAAAAAGGCTATATTCGGGTTAAAGGTAATGAAAAGGTTGTGTCGCTATGACCTCACGCACTACAACCAAAGTTCCTACGGCTGGCTCACGGTAAATTATTGTGCTATTCGTCCTAGGCTGGTGTCAGAGTCTGTGATCCGTCGTGCGACGGATACTTCCTTTTATGTCAGTTCTCTTTCTTACTAGGAACAATGGACATAAGAAACAAGAACTCTGTTGCGAAAGGAACTCCCTCAACCTATTGGTCGGCAGTTTCGACTTTTGTTTATTCCAAAGCGATTTACATTTTGTTTGCTTGACCCTGCAAAACGACTCCTTGCTCTTCACGAAAGCAAATTAATGCTTTTGGATAGCTGTCTCGTCGGCCTTTCTCCAATGGAGGATTCCACGATAGGAACGAAGGTAGTCGAAGAGAAATCGCCTAGTGGAGAAACAGGGTTCGCAGCGAAGAATATGCCTCTGGCGGTTCATGGCGTCCCTGCGCCACTACTAACGCAGCACGCCCACCGACTGCACCCACTCGCCCGCAGGTTTCTAGTTTAGCAGAGAGAGCGTTAGTTGCGAAGAGGGCAGCATCGATGAGAGTCATCAATGTGGGAATCAACAGGCAACGAGGGGTCTCATTTATCGGGTTCTACTTCAATATTAGTGGTACTTCAATATTAATGGGCTACCTTCTAATCCAAAACTCCGCCTTCAACTACATTCAGATTTCAAACGTTCAGTCGCGAAAATGAAAATCGGTTTCTCGTGATAAGTTGAAATATGTTTCTTTGCAGATGACAAGGAAAAGGAAAGTTGACAATACTCAAATTGAAAGTGACGCAGGAGCTAACAAAAAAGACCGTTCTTATGAGTATGGCTACAAAAATATCCCGGACGAAGGTCCTTCCACGAATGGGGACTCAGCGACGCAGAACAAGAATCAGTTCCATAGGACATTCCCTCACAAGAATCGAGACGGCGGAAGCTTTCGCGGTAGAGGAGGGCAAAGGAATCATCAATTTTCCAGAGGAGCACGTGGAAACTACGACACTAACGATTTCGAACGGGTACTTCATCGATCGCTTAGGTCTGTGGATTGGAATTTCTACTTATTGTTTCAGAAATATGGAAAAGTTGGTGGAGGTAATGAGGAGGAAGTGCGAGAAAGCATAAGAGAAGAAGATAAAGGAAATGAAAAGAAAGAGGCGTACCCTGCGGAATTGGTGGCCTACCTGAAGAACATTGAGCAAATGATAGCGGCAGAGGAACGAGTAGGTAGGTGAATCCTAATTCTTGGTTTCATATCCATGTGGTTTGCTAAAAGATGTTCCGTTAAGATAATATGGTTATCGACAAATGTGCAGAGGAATGTTCGGGTGAGGAAGAGAAGTTGCTGTCGTTCAGAGACTCGTCAATTGTCGTTGAGAACGTATTTGGTACGAATTAGAAGATCAGTTTGAAGCGGAATTTTTATTTCATGATCAGACCTCCGTAGGTTGTCGCTACAGCTGCGATATAAAGTGCCACTAACAGAAGCTTTTGGTTGATGTTGTTTGATTTACCACACTCAGGCCGAGCGCGCCGACTATTTCTCATTTTGCGGTTTGCGCTTGTTTCAGCTCATTTTTGAAAGTGCTAATAAAGAAAGTTGTTCCGTTACATTCAGGTTTTCTTGGTTTTTTTATAGTCTAAAATTTGTTTCAATAAGCTAATGAACGGCGACTGCTTCCTTTTATAAGGGCCCTATGGGCCGCGCGTGATCCATGTTCGTCTGCCCATAATTCACTCTTGACGACGTAATTCAGCATAGTGAATTATACTACTTGAAATATGCGATATCAACACTGAACAGCAATTTTTAAGGAGCTTCACAACATGGAGCAGAGCTGTTTTTGTCCGGGCTGGCACGACTAAAGCACAAACGGCTACTCGATCTGTTTTTCTCAGGAACTTCTGCACATACTATCGAAACACTGTGTTATGCACTTCTTCCTATCAAAACTAACAAACCTGTTGAGGTATCAATGACTATTTTATTGCGATGTAGCGTTGTTAAGAGGATTTCATCTATGAAAGGAAAAGTATGAGCTATAAAATATGTTTTCAGTTAATCGAGAAGTTTTCCGATTTGATATGTGATAATTGGAATGATGCAGTGGGTTGCCAGCACTCCGCATTTCTAGTGCGGTGCTTTGCTTGGGTTACTTGTGGTCTGAAGAAGAAGGACAAGGTATTGTTTTTGAGATGTTTATTGTATTGTTAGACTTTTAGTACGTGTCATGTTTACTGATGTTTTATTTATTTTGCTCACCAAGCTTTGCCATTCGGACTGATGCTGCGTTATCATTGTAAATGGGATATAGCGTAAATTCATCTCCATTTGACTAAGCACATTTTGATTATAACTCGCAAGAAGCAGGCGTTCTTAGAGACTTGAAAAGTCTCTGGATTTCTAAAATTGCACGCAAGCTGTGAGGGCCATCAGTAGATTGCATACTGAGTGTTGTAATGGAAACCTACTGCTGTCTCTTATATCATTTTCGGTTTATTCTTCGGTTTTTTAGAACCCCACAAGGAGACTTATCCAATATGCAGTCAATACAAGGTCAAAGTGCAGAAATCAAACTTGGATTATCGCGTGTTTTTGATCGAATAGCATCGTTAGCTCTGGAAAGTGCAGCTACACGTATGTGGTTTTCATTATTGTTCTGTTGTTTTGCATTTTTGTTGGTTTTTGAGTGAATAGAAGTCTTATCTCCAACCGCTTGCAAGATAGCTAATCTTATTTTCATGGCTTCACCTTTTTTGCCAAGTGCTCCTTTTTTTTCATTGGAACGCGATGAGGATTTTGCAAAAGGGATGTTTAAACGGGAGAACCTTCGGCATTACATAGGGTTCGATTCCTCACCTATGGCACTTCGCTTACCCATGGCAGCACGACTTTACGTGGCTTTTTTAACGTTTTTTTGGCAGAAATGTGGTTACTCTGTATGTGTGGATAAGCGAGATGTCTAGAAACATGTATGGGGTCTGGGGTTGATTTGAGCAGGAATATTTGTCAGTATAGTCATGTATAATTGATAATTTGACTGCAAACTGTAGTGAACCTCATTTGTTTTCAGCACGTGTGGAAAATGTGCACCTTTCTCTTGTCGTGCAGGACGTATTAGAAGCGGATAGCATCGCAAAGCTCGGGAAATCAACTGTCATTGTTGACAAAGTTCTCGCTTCTGCCTCAGGAGATGGTGCGTCACAGGTTTTGCTTTGAATTCTGGTCCATAGTCACTGATTTCAAAGTTTTTTGCAGACTTGCGGCAGCTATGGTTGGGTAAGAATAGCTCGAGAGTCTGGGAGAAGCTGGTGGTGGCATGTCACGAGGAAACACTTCAGTCGCTTTGGGAAACCGTTATAACAGGCCATGTGAGTTTCGTTTGTGTCCATTCAGCTCTGTTCGGAAATGGTATTTGTTCTTGGCAATTTCGAGTGATTTATCCCCTCTTTCCAGGTTTCTGAGCTGTCATCTCATCCCTGCGCCAATTTTCCATTGCAGAAGTTCATTGCTAGTGTGAAGTCGCTTGAATTGGTAAGATGTCTATATTATGCTACCAGTCTTTTTTTTTTCTGAAAAATTCTGAGAGTTTGAAATGTGGGAACAATTTTTGAACGTTTACTTTAGGCGACAGACTTGTGTCATGAGGCCGTACCATTGATTCAGAAGTTCTTATCAAGCGACCGTTGGGGTGTTGCTCAAGCTCTGCTGCGATGTGTTTCAAGACACGAAGATTTGCAGGAACCTGTGTTGAAGGAACTTCGGCAGTTTTTCAGAGCTAGCAAGGTACGGTTCGTGAATAGTGTCGCTCTGTTGCATTAAGTGTGCAAATCTCTACATTATGGCATAGTTGAAGGTTCCTTTTTTTTTTGCCTTTTCAGAAGGAGAATAAAATCAATTTCTTGCTCAACATCGTCACACTGAACAAGTATAATGGGAAATCTTTCAACGTGAACGATTCGCATTTACATGTAAGCTAAATTTTGGTTCTCTACTCGATGTCGCGGGAAATTGTGTAGCATACGGAAGAAATGCCAACGCTCGCATAGTGACTGGCTTGGATGTGTGTGGTACACTTAGGAAAGTGATAGATAACTAGCCATCCAGCCCACCATTTACGGTTTTATTTGTTACATATTACCATCGGTTTTGAAGACGTTTTGGCTTTCGTTTTGGCTGATCTCACAGATTATGCGTGTTGGCGTTTCTGGCTGATTTCGAGGACTATATGCATTATTTAAGGGATGCTTGTTGGTAGAGATATTGCTGTCGTTCCATAAGGTGAAGACCTTGACTGCTTGCATTGAAGCTTTACAATCACCAGACATTGTTAAACTGGTAAGTGCGTTATACCTTTTTCCTTGTTGTCAAGAAGTGAAACATAGATTGAGTTTATATCATTGAAATGTGTTTGAAAAAAATCCCAAAAGCTCCACAGATAGTCTATTCCAAAATCTTCTTTATTTGACCGAATTGCTGTGTTGTAACAGAGTAAGGCGGGGTGCAGAAAAGTTATTGAAGCAGCAACGTGCGCTCATCGTATGGGTAAATAGAGTGTAAAACTAGAGAGTTCGTGAGAAAAAAAAATTAAAATTCTGTTTTTCTAGTGAAATGGTTAGCTTTCGTGATGTTCGGACGATTTTTTGAACGCGATTCAGGCTCAAAAAACTGCTGAACAGCACGAAATGCTCAATTCTTTGTCAACAAATCACATAACAAAATACTCAAAGTGGCTGGTTTTTGTAAGTTGCTGTTCTGAATTGTTTCCATTGATTAATTGTGCTCTTTTTGGGTTATTTCAATACATGGCAGCTATATTTAGGCGAGAAACAAGTGCGGTTCCCATGTGCTTCAGGCTGCTTTCAGAAGCAGCACACTTGGAGATAGTGTCAAGGAAAAGTTGATAAGTTCCTTTGAGGTAAGCTACGATCGATCTCGCTTCATTTCCCTATTCATTTTCCATGTTCAGTCTTTTCTTAGCAAGTGTTTGGATAGCATCGAGTAGCTTTTCGCAACTTAAAGGAAATAAATTTTAAACCAAAAATTTTTCCAGAATGATTGGGGATCTCTGATCTCAGACGTATACGGTAGCCATGTGTTCGAGTCAATATGGGAATGTTCGCTGTTCACGGTGAAGAGACGACAAGAGCTCATGAAGATAATTGTTCCAGTTCCAGGTACTAAGTCATTAGGCTTGTTCTGCTTCACATTTATTCAAACATATCTTCATCGTGTTACATTTTCGTCATAATCCTTCGGAAAATTGAATCTGTTTCAGAGTGACTCAAAGTTCTGGAAATTTGCAATGCTCAGATGCGATATGTACCTCTTCCGGAAAGATCGGAAGGCTTGGGTTGGAGAAGATGAAAAAATCTGTGAAAGGAGCCAAGCACTGAAGATCTTGGCTAATGTTGTTATGGTTATTTGTTGAATTGTTTGTTGTTGATGTGTTGAGAAAGTTATTTTTGTTGTTGTCCCAATAGATTCCCAAGTTGTTATAGAAAATGTGAAAAATTAGGATGTGAATGAATATTAACGTGTGCCTTTGGTTTTCCTGCTTTTTTGATACAGCAGAGCTAACATTTTTGTAAGGCAGGTTAAAACTCTCACGTGAAGGTTAGGGTCAATAACTTGAAGGCATTTTTTGAGCATAAGGCTGATGTCAGACGTTGTGAGTCGAGCGATTCAGTAGCGTTCGCGGTAGCGTCGCGGTCAGCAAATCGCTTCGGTTAGCTTTTGCTTCTAAGGTTCTTTCAAGCTATGTTAAGAATGAAGGAGTATGAGCAAGGCGGTGGTTCTAGTCAGAACAAATCACATGGTTGATTTTCTCTGATTATTGAACCACTCAAGTTTTGTTCTGTAAATTATTCTGCAGTTTTGATACGTAAGGTAAAGCACATGTCTATGTTATCTCGAGCTCACCGCTTTCAACTAATTATTATTTTTTTAGCATCGAGAGCGGAATCGCGATGCACCGAGAAAGAAGAAAAAGTGCTCAATTCTGTGAATATGAGTGCTGCATTTGCTGATACGTGTGCTCCGTAATGTGCGCCTTCTGTCTGGAGCGTTCCGCGCCTCTTCATATCACATTTCGCTCTCCTCTCCATAGTCAGTTTCGTTCGGGAATTCTAATTCTTCTCGAGTTTTTCCTTTGTTTCGGTCACATTTGTGACAACCACGCCTGGCTATTACGTAATATTATATGTAAAGCTCAATAATTTCGCAGCGTTTTATTCGTTTTGTTGTCGTGTTCATCGTTCAACGTGCCTGTCACTAGATAACGTCATGGTGGTTCTATTTGATGTTGCAGTTTCGTATCTGTTCACATCATATGTTCCGAATTATTCCTCGGTTCTATACTCCTGGTAAGTTGCTGGTACTTTTTTCTATCTGTCAGTGTTTCTCAATTCGGGCCCGATCCCAATATAGTCATGATCCACTGCGCCGTTGCTGCCCTCTTCTCCCTCTCAACGCGACTTTAACCGCTGGTCAAACGGGTCTGAAACAAATTGCTTTTACTCGATGACGGCGACTTAGATCGCATTTCGGACCCGTTATCCATATATACCAGTACTTCTTTTCAGATCTATATATTATAACTTTTATGTTTGCAAATGAATCTTTGTCGCTCAGATGTTTATTTTTATCATCTTTTTGTTTAGTATCACAAATTGTACATTTCCTCCACGTTCTTAAGAGTTGTACGGTTTGTCGCTATTATTTCAATGATGCCGTGGACGTTTAATTTCTGTAATTCGATGTTCTAATGATACTTTAGTGTTGATTACAACGATAAGTAATGTCAATTCCTTATCATTGCTGGAAAAGTTTTATTACCCATCTTTCCATTTTTTCACCTGAAACCTAAAATTCTATCGTTCCATTCCCGTTGTTTCTTAGACGAAATACTAATATAAACATGAGTTTTAATGAGTATCATTCGAATGTCTTGAAAAACAACTTTAAAGTTTAATCCTTTATATAGTGGGCGAGTTTGAAGATTTTCTGTTCTTTTGTAGACGATTGATTGTATGTGAGATCGTTTAGATTCCAGTAAAATATTCTAAAAATAACTGTTTGGCTTTGATTTAGAGGTGTTTTCCACAGAACTACCGTGTTAATTCTGCGATTTTTGTTTGTGTGTTACTTTTAGTTGTTTGATTCACTTCCTTAAAAGATAATCGAGAAGTGGCCCATACTGGTCCTAGATTGTCTCTGTCGTTAGGCTGGGCCTAGGTTTTTGAGTCAAGCCGCGAAGGGCGTACAATGGCTTCCCATTCAATTTTTGGAACATGAAATTTTGCACAGATCATATCTCTTTCGTCAATCCAGCTCTACCCACACTTCGGCTCAATTTCACATCTGCGTCCGCACTCATACTTTGCAATCACCCGATCGGACCTTTCGGATGGCTTCAATTAATTTGTATGCACCTCACACCGGCTTGGAGGTCGGACGATGGCAAATTATAACTGCTGCTGATAGCAGAAAGAACAGTTGGCGGGCTTGAGTACGAAAGTGCTGTGTCGCTATGACCTCACGCACTCCAAAGTTCCTACGGCTGGTTCCATATGGACTAGGAAGTTTCACACGTTCTACTCATCATAAAATTGTTAAAAGTGCCACCTTCTTGGCTCACGGTAAATCATTGTGCTATTCGTCCTAGGCTGGTGTCAGAGTCTGCGATCCGTCGTGCGACGGATACTTCCTTTTATGTCAGTTCTCTTTCTTACTAGGAACAATGGACATAAGAAACAAGAACTCTGTTGCGAAAGGAACTCCCTCAACCTATTGGTCGGCAGTTTCGACTTTTGTTTATTCCAAGCGTAGTTGATTTACATTTTGTTTGCTTGACCCTGCAAAACGACTCCTTGCTCTTCGCGAAAGCAAATTGATGCTTTTGGATAGCTGTCTCGTCGGCCTTTCTCCAATGGAGGATTCCACGATAGGAACGAAGGTAGTGGAAGAGAAATCGCCTAGTGGAAGAACAGGGTTCGCAGCGAAGAATATGCCTCTGGCGGTTCATGGCGTCCCTGCGCCGCTACAAACGCAGCACGCCCACCGACTGGCACCACTCGCCGCAGGTTTCTAGTTTAGCAGAGAGAGCGTTAGCTGCGAAGAGGGCAGCATCGATGAGAGTCATCAATGTGGGAATCAACAGGCAACGAGGGGTCTCATTTATCGGGTTCTACTTCAATATTAGTGGTACTTCAATACTAATGGGCTACCTTCTAATCCAAAACTCCGCCTTCAACTACATTCAGATTTCAACGTTCAGAAGGCCATTTTGTTTAGTGGTCACTTATAGTTGTTTCAAGCAGCTAACTTCGAGACATGGGAACCTTTTGTGGCTTGTATGCGATAATTGTTTCACAGAAAGAACTCGGTTCGCGAAAATGAAAATCGGTTTCTCGTGATAAGTTGAAATATGTTTCTTTGCAGATGACAAGGAAAAGGAAAGTTGACAATACTCAAATTGAAAGTGACGCAGGAGCTAACAAAAAAGACCGTTCTTATGAGTATGGCTACAAAAATATCCCGGACGAAGGTCCTTCCACGAATGGGGACTCAGCGACGCAGAACAAGAATCAATTCCATAGGACATTCCCTCACAAGAATCGAGACGGCGGAAGCTTTCGCGGTAGAGGAGGGCAAAGGAATCATCAATTTTCCAGAGGAGCACGTGGAAACTACGACACTAACGATTTCGAACGGGTACTTCATCGATCGTTTAGGTCTGTGGATTGGAATTTCTACTTATTGTTTCAGAAATATGGAAAAGTTGGTGGAGGTAATGAGGAGGAAGTGCGAGAAAGCATAAGAGAAGAAGATAAAGGAAATGAAAAGAAAGAGGCGTACCCTGCGGAATTGGTGGCCTACCTGAAGAACATTGAGCAAATGATAGCGGCAGAGGAACGAGTAGGTAGGTGAATCCTAATTCTTGGTTTCATATCCATATGGTTGCTATAAAGATGTTCCGTTAAGATAATATGGTTATCGACAAATGTGCAGAGGAATGTTCGGGTGAGGAAGAGAAGTTGCTGTCGTTCAGAGACTCGTCAATTGTCGTTGAGAACGTATTTGGTACGAATTAGAAGATCAGTTTGAAGCGGAATTTTATTTCATGATCAGACCTCCGTAGGTTGTCGCTACAGCTGCGATATAAAGTGCCACTAACAGAAGCTTTTGGTTGATGTTGTTTGATTTACTACACTCAGGCGAGCGCGCCGACTATTCTCATTTTCCGATGTCTCATTTCTTCATGTTTCAGCTCATTTTTGAAGCTGCTAGATCAAAGAAAGCATGTTCGCTACAACATGGTTTTCTTGGATTTTTTTTATGGTCTAAAATTTGTTTCAAAGCTAATGAACGGCGATTGCTTCCTTTTATAAGGCCCTATGGGCCGCGCGTGATCCATGTTCGTCTGCCCATAATTCACTCTTGACGACGTAATTCAGCATAGTGAATTATATACTACTTGAAATATGCGATATTAATACTGAACAGCAATTTTTAAGGAGCTTCACAACATGGAGCAGAGCTGTTTTTGTCCGGGCTGGCACGACTAAAGCACAAACGGCTACTCGATCTGTTTTTCTCAGGAACTTCTGCACATACTATCGAAACACTGTGTTATGCACTTCTTCCTATCAAAACTAACAAACCTGTTGAGGTATCAATGACTATTTTATTGCGAATGTAGCGTTGTTAAGAGGATTTCATCTATGAAAGGAAAAGTATGAGCTATAACAAATTTGTTTTCAGTTAATCGAGAAGTTTTCCGATTTGATATGTGATAATTGGAATGATGCAGTGGGTTGCCAGCACTCCGCATTTCTAGTGCGGTGCTTTGCTTGGGTTACTTGTGGTCTGAAGAAGGACAAGGTATTGTTTTTGAGATGTTTATTGTGTTGTTAGACTTTTAGTACGTGTCATGGTTACTGATGTTTTATTTATTTTGTTCACCAAGCCTTCCATTCGGACTAATGCTGCGTTATCTTTGTAAATGGGATGCATAGCGTAAATTCATCCATTTGGACTAAGCACATTTGATTATAACTCGCCAAGAAGTCAAGCCTTCTTTAGAGACTTGAAAAGTTCTGGATTTGCTAAATGCAAGCTGTGAGGACCATCCAGACTGAGTGTTGTAATGGAAACCTACAGCTGCCTCTTGATAATCTTTTTCGGTTTTATTCTTCTTTTTTAGAACCCACAAGGAGACTTATCCAATATGCAGTCAATACAAGGTCAAAGTGCAGAAATCAAACTTGGATTATCGCGTGTTTTTGATCGAATAGCATCGTTAGCTCTGGAAAGTGCAGCTACACGTATGTGGTTTTCATTATTTTTCTGTTGTTTTGCATTTTTGTGGTTTTTGAGTGAATAGAAGTCTTTACTCTCAACCAGCTTGCAAATAGCTAATCCTTATTTTATGGCGTTCACCTTTTTGCCAAGTGCCTCTTTTTTTTTCATTGGAACGCGATGAGGATTTTGCAAAAGGGATGTTTAAACGGGAGAACCTTCGGCATTACATAGGGTTCGATTCCTCACCTATGGCACTTCGCTTACCCATGGCAGCACGACTTTACGTGGCTTTTTTAAACGTTTTTTTGGCAGAATATGTGGTTACTCTGTATGTGTGGATAAGCGAGATGTCTAGAAACATGTATGGGGTCTGGGGTTGATTTGAGCAGGAATATTTGTCAGTATAGTCATGTATAATTGATAATTTGACTGCAAACTGTAGTGAACCTCATTTGTTTTCAGCACGTGTGGAAAATGTGCACCTTTCTCTTGTCGTGCAGGACGTATTAGAAGCGGATAGCATCGCAAAGCTCGGGAAATCAACTGTCATTGTTGACAAAGTTCTCGCTTCTGCCTCAGGAGATGGTGCGTCACGGGTTTTGCTTTGAATTCTGGTCCGTAGTCACTGATTTCAAAGTTTTTGCAGACTTTGCGGCAGCTATGGTTGGGTAAGAATAGCTCGAGAGTCTGGGAGAAGCTGGTGGTGGCATGTCACGAGGAAACACTTCAGTCGCTTTGGGAAACCGTTATAACAGGCCATGTGAGTTTCGTTTGTGTCCATTCAGCTCTGTTCGGAAATGGTATTTGTTCTTGGCAATTTCGAGTGATTTATCCCCTCTTTCCAGGTTTCTGAGCTGTCATCTCATCCCTGCGCCAATTTTCCATTGCAGAAGTTCATTGCTAGTGTGAAGTCGCTTGAATTGGTAAGATGTCTATATTATGCTACCAGTCTTTTTTTTTTCTGAAAAATTCTGAGAGTTTGAAATGTGGGAACAATTTTTGAACGTTTACTTTAGGCGACAGACTTGTGTCATGAGGCCGTACCATTGATTCAGAAGTTCTTATCAAGCGACCGTTGGGGTGTTGCTCAAGCTCTGCTGCGATGTGTTTCAAGACACGAAGATTTGCAGGAACCTGTGTTGAAGGAACTTCGGCAGTTTTTCAGAGCTAGCAAGGTACGGTTCGTAAATAGTGTCGCTCTGTTGTATTAAATGTACAGAATCTTTACGTTATGGCATAGTTGAAGGTTCCATTTTTTGCCTTTTCAGAAGGAGAATAAAATCAATTTCTTGCTCAACATCGTCACACTGAACAAGTATAATGGGAAATCTTTCAACGTGAACGATTCGCATTTACATGTAAGCTAAATTTTGGTTCTCTACTCGATGTCGCAGGAAATTGTGTGCGCATAGCATACGGAAGAAATGCCAACGCTCGCATAGTGCTGGCTTGGATGTGTATGGTACACTTAGGAAAGTGATAGATAAACTAGCCATCCAGCCCACCATTTACGCTTTTATCTGTTACGTATTACCATCGGTTTTGAAGACGTTTTGGCTTTTATCTTCGCTGATCTCACGGATTATGCGTGTTGGCGTTTCTGGCTGATTTCGAGGACTAAATGCATTATTTAAGGGATGCTTGTTGGTAGAGATATTGCTGTCGTTCCATAAGGTGAAGACCTTGACTGCTTGCATTGAAGCTCTACAAGCGCCAGATATTGTCAAACTGGTAAGTGCGTTATACACTTTTTCCTTCTTGTCAAGAATGATACACAAGATTGAGTTTATATCACTGAAATTGTGTTTGAAAAAAATTCCCAAAAGCTCCACAGATAGCCTATTCCAAAATCTTCTTTATTTGACCGAATTGCTGTGTTGTAACAGAGTAAGGCGGGGTGCAGAAAAGTTATTGAAGCAGCAACGTGCGCTCATCGTATGGGTAAATAGAGTGTAAAACTAGAAAGTTCGTGAGAAAAAAATTAAAATTCTGTTTTTCTAGTGAAATGGTTAGCTTTCATGATGTTCGGACGATTTTTTGAACGCGATTCAGGGCTCAAAAAACTGCTGAACAGCACGAAATGCTCAATTCTTTCACAAATCACATAACAAAATTACTCAAAAGTGCAGTTTTGTATTGCTCGTTCTGATATGTTTCCATTGATTAATTGTGCTTTTTGGGTATTTCAATACATGGCAGCTATTTTTAGGCGAAAAACAAGTGCGGTTCCCATGTGCTTCAGGCTGCTTTCAGAAGCAGCACACTTGGAGATAGTGTCAAGGAAAAGTTGATAAGTTCCTTTGAGGTAAGCTACGATCGGATCTCGCTTCATTTCCTATTCATTCTCCGATAGCAGCGGTACTTTCAACTTAAAGGGAATAAATTTTTCCAGAATGATTGGGGATCTCTGATCTCAGATGTATACGGTAGCCATGTATTCGAGTCAATATGGGAATGTTCGCTGTTCACGGTGAAGAGACGACAAGAGCTCATGAAGAAACTGGTTCCAATTCAGGTAAGAGAAGAAATAGGCCTGCTTCGCATTCATTCATTATCTTTATCGTATGACATTTTCATCTTGATCCTTGGAAATGAATCTGTTTCAGAGTGACTCAAAGTTCTGGAAATTTGCAATGCTCAGATGCGATATGTACCTCTTCCGGAAAGATCGGAAGGCTTGGGTTGAGAAGATGAAAAAATCTGTGAAAGGAGCCAAGCACTGAAGGATCTTGGCTAATGTTGTTATGGTTATTTGTTGAATTGTTTGTTGTTGATGTGTTGAGAAAGTATTTTCGTTGTTGTTGTCCCATAGATTCCAAGTTGTTATAGAAAATGTGAAAAGTTAGGATGTGAATGAATATTAACGTGTGCCTTCGGCTTCGACCTGCTTTTTTGATACAACAGAGCTAACATTTTTGTAAGGCAGGTGAAAAACTCTCACGTGAAGGTCAGGGGTCAATAACTTGAAGGCATTTTTTCAGCATAAGGCCGATGTCAGACTTTGCGAATCGAGCGATTCGCTAGCGTCTGCGGTCGCGTCGCGGCCAGTGAATCACTCAATTGGCTGGTACCGCAACGCGACCGCGGACGCTAGCGAATCGCGCGATTCGCAAAGTCTGACATCGGCCTGAGCACAACACGTGCTGGGCTCATGGCTTGAGTGCGCGACAGGAACGCTAGGCTCTTATAGCGGTATGCAGCAGTATTCCGACCAGGGAAGGGTCTCTAAAATGCATCTTCCTTCTGACGCATCTCCTCATTTCTGACTATGGGAATTGGTCATCGACCGCAGTAGAAATGCAAAGTTTTCAAAGACCCTTCCTCAGTCG